ACAATATTGGAAATATAAGAAACAAGATGCACGTAAATTAACCGGAGAAGTTCACGAAAAGGTTGAAAAAATCATAAGTGACGAGAAAAATGAACAAGGTGTGACTGTTCGTAAAATCACGACCAAAACTACTACGACCATCACCGGATCGCATATATCAAGAGCTTTAGTATTTCTGCTTCCATATCATCGTTTAACTGGGTATCTTTTAATTCCATGTGTTTTTAGCCATGCTTATATTCATCGTGTACTTCCAAGACGTCACTTTGGTGATTCCTCGATGATCAACGCATCATATGTTACACTCGCTCTCAAGAAATGGCCTCGTTCAACGTATTTAGCATTTACGTTGTTGATCGGGTTAGGGGTTTACCATATTTGCAGCGGTGCACCTGTTGTGTACAAGATCTTGAAAGGCTCCATACTAAAAAATGGAGATAAACAAGCTTCAGAAGTAACAAAGAAACGACTTCGGATCATCAGAAATGGGGTGATCGTTTCTTCGATTGGATTATTGGCAACCGGATTGCTCGTTATTGGAGGGAAATTGAGACGTGAAAATATTAAAATTCCTTTTCGTTCTGAATATTTGAAGGTTTATGGACGTGTTTATCCACAAAGTTGGGTGAGATACTAGAAAAGCATACAATTCTTTGATATTTAAGTTTTATTTTCTTATTCAATCTGCATTATGTATTACTTTTTAATATTACACTATTTTTTGAATGGTATTTGATAATTTTTTCTTGAGGAAATGTGGCAATAAATGTGATAGTTATTAGTAAATTGCAGCTATAGTAATTACAATCACATCGATTCATAATATGTTTAATAATTCTTTCTAAATATTACTTTTAGAAAAACCTTCGATGGACACTATTGATTAAAAAATAAAATAATAAAAAAAAAATAAAATAAAATAAACTAATATCTCGCCTAATTCGTCGACTGCGTCCATTGTATTATTAACCTTATCATTGTTAACATAAAAACGGTTTAGTAGATTATAATAACAATAAGACAATGTAACAATTACCAAATCAGCGAAATAGATCTTCATCCGGATTGATGATTTACAACTTTCGCCGAAATAGTACAGTAAGAAAATAAGAAAAATCAAAAAAAAAAATTTGTTGGGAACGCCTGCAGAAAGACAAGCCACATTATTTACGCCTAGAAACTTTTTAAAGTGTAAATGACATCAAGAGAATAAAATTCGTATGCGCAATTATATGCTCAAAATCAAAAACGAAACAATATCAAATAGAATTTTCCTGAATGTTAATTGTTCCCCCAGTCTCTGGTAAGAGTTGCAGGCAGTATAATCGAATGGAATTCAGTAATTGTCAAACAAAAAAATTAAGCAGTCACGTGATCCCTGTCTATTGGTGAATCGGTACGTTAATGTTAATAGTAACAGTAATTATTAGAACTGTTAACAGTATTAGATATTAACAGTATTAGATATTAGAGGTTTAATAAGATTAGTAAAGTATTGTATAGTATGTCGACAATTTTTATTAATGTCTCGGATAAAGTTTTTGATCTTCGCTGTTTAATATTCCGTTTCTTGTTTCGAATTTGTATGTTAATCATGTGACTATTGTTTAGTGACCTTTCTATTCTCGGTTAGTACAAAAGTAACAGCAGATCATTTCACATCACCTGCAGTCCTTCATCCAATCCAATCTTGAGCGAAGTAATGACAGTTAACTGTTAACTGATCTTTCAATACTACCGGTATTATTCTATTCATTTTTATTTAATTTTTTTTTTTTTTTCTTACACTCCGATTATTATTTCTTAATTCTACTTCGAGCGGCGGCGGTTTAGAAAAAAAAAAAAAAAAAAATTATAATTATTATTATTATTAAATAAAATCCGTTGCATAAGTATCTAACTCTTTTCATTCTTTTATTTTTTTTTTTTTGACTAAATATTATTATATTCCTACCGTTTTCCTACCCTTTATACATTATGAAGGTAAAATAGAACTTTCATATTTACATATAAAATAATTGGATTTGAAAGAATAATTCAAGAACTTTAAGCGAATTACATAATTAATTTTTTCGAGAAACTGAAATAAAATTATAAAAAGCTTTTGGGACCTAGGGTTGCCATATATGACTTCAAACCTTTTCAAGCAAGACATCATAGGCGACAACGAGTTTTCACAATTACTTGAAGATTTTACTTCTGTCACTGGTTCCGTTTTGGATAATACTACTTTATATAACGCTGCTGCAACAGCGACTCAACAACTACATTCTACACCTTTCGATATGTCCCCTCTCCTAACCTCTACTCAAAAGGAGAGTGGGAACACCAGAGATTACGTTAACGATATTGTTTCTTCTTCTGCTTATCCGCCACCTGCTCAAGATCCACAAAGAGTTTTACGTCAAATGATGAGTTTATGTAAACATATTTATTCAAGGGGTTTGATCGAAGGAAGTGGAAGTGATGTTACCATCAAAGCTTTCGATAAAGATTATCATTTACATAGAATAATTCTTTATCAAAATACTTATTTTTCAGTTTTATTGGAAGGTCCTTGGAAAGAAAATGGTGCAAAAGCTATAGAGTTACGATTTGATGATAAAAATATCACTCGTGAAGCTTTTGAGATAGCTTTGGGTCGGTTATATGGCAGATTGGATGAAGTCATTTTACCTTCTCAAGTATTAAGTCTCCTTGCAACCGCTTCTTTTCTTGATTTACAGGATTTATGTGAAATGTGTGTGGATGTTATATTAAGAGATATAAAAGATGATACTGTGGTTAATTATCTTACTTTTGCTACCACCCACTTTTATGGTTCTCATTCTGAAAAAATTACAGAAGCTTGCTTCACTTATCTATGTAGAGAAGGTTATGATAGTTTAACACTTCAATCCGCCTTTTTATCCTTACCCGCTGAGTGGTTAAAGAGAGTAATAGAGAGTGATGCTTTTTGGGTTCCCGGTGAATACGAGAGATATTTATTTGCCCGTGATATAGTTAGTAGGAGAAGGAAAATTTTCGTTGAACGAAAGAGAAGAAGTGTAGTAGCCTCATTGTCAAATGTTGAAATTTCTGATTTACATAATTTACCGACTGAAAGTTCGGTTCCAATTTCTCCAACAACTCCTACTTCTCCGGCTGGGAATAGACGATTAGTAGATACTTACTCTTATCATACTAGACGTTCCGCTTCCGTTAGTACCATAAGTTCGGTGTGTTCTGCAACGTCTTCGTCTATACAGGTGGAGAGTGATGAATCTATTTACAACGCTATATTTACCTATGCAATTTACTATAGTCATATGACTTTTGAAGAACTAAATTTTATATTACATGATTGTGATCCTACCACCGGTGTTCCATTCTCTCCTGACTATGTAGTAAAAGATGCTTTATGGCAGCAGATTGATCTTCGTAACAAAATCGAGAATGCTATAGAGACTGATGTTACATTAGGAATTTCTTCTTCTGAAATATTAACAAGTTCAACGGGTGTACATTTCGAAATTCCTTCCGATGATACTACTCATATAGGTGAAGCACTTACTGGATTAGAAGATATGATTGGAGGTGGAACAAAAGCAATGAAAGATGGTGAGGGTAGAGGAAGTGTAGAGTATTCTCTGTTTGCTCCTTTTAGATTTAGCGTTGAATTTGCAGACGTTGCTAAATTGAAAGAAAAACAGAGAGTATATTCTGGAACAAAATTTTATGCCGGGTACGTCTAGTGTATATGTTTAGTATATATATGTTTAATTTTTTTTTTTAATATTTATAATTTCAACGTTTCTATTTTGTAATGGAATTAATTTCTCAATTTTTGTGATTTTTAATATAGATCTAATTGGAACATGTATATCCAAAAAATAAAAACTCCTCGTAAAGGAATACAACTTGGTGTATATTTGCACCGTCATTCAATGCCAGATCCTGCATCACCTTGTGGTAACAATAGTAGCTCCTCTTCATTGATGAACGTATCACCCCTAAACAAAAGTCCTACGTCTTCCCCTTCAGATGATCGATTTTCTGCATCAACTCGTCAAACTATATTAATGAAGAATAATGGTGAGAAAAGCTTTTCGAGATATGCAGACAAAAGGAAAACTGTTAGAACTTGGTTTAAGATATTTTGCCCGTCAAGAGGCCCCAGTCACGTGTTGACACAATTTCAGAGTAGTCCAGATAATTTTGCACTAATGCAAAGTTGGGTTAGTAATTAATTAATTTAATAATCTATTAATTATTAATCAGTTATGATTCTATATTTCAACTTTTATTTCATTATTTCAGGGTTGGCGAAGTTCAAGTCTTTGTCAAGATGATTATCTCTTGGATGTTCGTGACTATGACACTTCTGCTTCAGCTATTTCAAACTCTTCATCAACTTTAAAGTTTTCCGTGGTAATGGGACATGTGTGAAACTTATTTTTCAGTAGTCTAGAGCAAAATGATTTATCTATTTATTGGTTTAATTTACATTTTTGAATATACTGCAAATGTTTTTTTTTTCTTCTCTTATTCCAAGGAACTTTGATTATTTGGCTTACAACAGGCCTATTAGATATTAGGAAAGTGTTTGCATATTTTGCTTCTTTAATTGTATAATAGATTTTTGTTTATCAATTCTGGTAATTCTATTTCATTGTTGTTTAGAGAGTGAACGTTTATTTTACAGAAAAATGAATAATTAATGTTGGTGTTCTATAGAAAATATTTTCCATATACAGTGTTTTTTATTAACTTAAATTTGCTGCTTTAAAATATTGGCTGGAAATGAGACTTGGTTATGATAAATTACATTAACGTTAAGTGTATATCAAGAAACTATCCATTATTTATTACGTCATCGAAATCTATCGAATACATCCTCAAACTCATTTTAAATCGATTCAATATATTACAAATAT